GGCATAGAAGTCTCTGTCCTTTAGTCTCTGTCCTGCTCAGGCCGGAAAGAGATAAATCGGCCCTTTATGGGAGTTGGGTCTGTTCTATTGTCGTATTGATGAAAGGTTCAACATACTTCACGGACGATGTACATAGCTGTAGCCGGAGCGATCCATTCTCTTGCGTGTATGCCACCGTCAATCCACATTGATATCTTCTTCCCGATCACCGATTTATGGCCAGAAATCTGAAAGACAAACTTTTCTCGCATCGAATAATTCGCTATATTGTTTGAATGCGGACATTGGGGTGCAAAATTATTAGGTCGATATACCGAATTTGACGGTGGCACGCAATGGACGCAGTGGCACCACAAAATGCTACAAACTCAATAGGACTATCGTAAGGGTAGGGTAACGACAGGCCCCAAGAAGCGTGGGCGTTTCTCGTTTTCTCAGAAACTTCTCCCCTTGCCGGGTTCAGTCCTAATTCTGCAAAAAATCAAGAGTAAGGCGTTATTACGATCATTGCGCGTCTACCGTATTCCAAATTCGGTACCTCCCCCTCCCTACGTCGCGCCTCCTCCCCCGGTCTTGCACAAAAAATATTCTCACAAAAAAAAACACGCACACACTCTCACACTGGGCACTTGCTCTTCTTCCCAAAGCCTTTCAGTCCATCATCACTCACCTTAATCACTAAAAGTGATCGATTTTCATGTGTTTCTCCTATGTCGATTAATGATATCATATCTGGTTTCTCTTTCCTCAGCCTGATCATTTCGTCTTGAATGTCTTCAAGAGAGTTGTACTTGTCGTACGAGTAGCCACCAGCTTCTGGATGATAGAAAGCGGGTGGAGACTTCTCGTTCTCTATCGCTCTGGAAATAGCAAAGATAATCACAATCTAAATCACTAAATAGCGCAGGAGTGAGGTAGTCCCAAAAGAGCGATCTCCAGCCGCCCGGCCTAAGAACTCGAACGGAATGCTACACAGACAGTCAAGCTTTTCATGACTTAAGATTCGACCGACTGGTACAAAATTTGTCCAAAAGTATAAAAACACTGCGCTGTACGGTACTTTTGAAAGTCAGAGACCGAACACACTTTTGAAAGCATGATCGGAAATTCTGCGTGACACATCTTCAGAAGGAGTGATCACCTTCAAACGCTTCAAAGTCTACCCACAGTTCCTTTCTTGCTGAGAAGTCGTTTGCAGTAGAAATTCGATTTCTAGATTGTCTTCTGTCTTCGTGCTCATCGTCGAACGTGCGAAATTTTTTCAAAAAATTGATCTGCACT